TATATAGAGAGAGAGAGAGAGAGAGAGAGAGAGAGGATAGAATGATAAGAGAAATGCTAAAAAATATTTTGTAAAAAAGTATAAACGATAAAATTAGGATAGAAATATGTAAGAGAAATAGTTTTAATCGATTTATTTTTCTTTTACCCCGCTAATCAAGATTTTTTTTTCTCCCCCGAGAAATCATAGATAAAAATCATATTAAATTTTTGGAAAAAATAAATAAATATACAGCTAGTTTCTTTCAAATTATATTATATTAAAGAAAAGAGATCAATAGTTCGAGTCTTTGCCGATAAAGCCAGTTGGCAAAAGGCTGACAGTGATGATGGTGACACTTCAGGCTATCTTCCTCTTCCTCTTTCCTCTACTTCTTCCTCTTCCTCTTGCTCCATCCTCACACAGTTCAAACAGAAGATGTCCAAGCAATCGATCTTCCAGCTGTCAAATAAAAAGGACCCAAGCTCACCGGCTCACTACCGTCACTCTTTAACAACTAGCAGCAGATAGGGGAAAATATCGTCGTCAACTTAACCACAATGTCAACTATTTCATGTCAACCATTGTAATAGATTAATAGTCAATATAAGCATGCAATTGAAGAAGAATATCCAGATTGATCATTTAAGTTGTTCATTCCAATTTCGCTCAATGAAATGAAATGAAAATGGACTATGAATTATGTTAAAATGGACATTGGGATAATTGCTGGCTACGAATTATGTTAAAATGGACATTGGGATAACTGCTGGCTACGAATTATGTTAAAATGGACATTGGGATAACTGCTGGCTACGAATTATGTTAAAATGGACATTGGGATAATTGTTGGCTTATTTTCTTTTAATCATACCTTAATAGTCTCAAATTTCATAATTTACATAATTATAAGAAAAAAAATTTTATGATAACCAAAAATTGATATGAATTAAAAAAAAAATTTTTTTTAAAAACTTTACAATGTTAAACACCATAAATAAATATGTGAATATTTACCAAATTATCAACTAATCATATCTAATCATAAAATTACTACACGATGCTACAAGTTTTTTCTTTTCCTTTTTTTCTTTCTTCTTTCTTTAAAATTATTCCCGGTATTTCTTTTCTTTTAAATTATTCCCGATATTTCTTTTGTGATAAAATCTAAGGAGAAAATTTTTGGCTAATCATTATGTTAATTATTAGATGATGATGCATTATCATTCTCTCATCTTCTTATCCTTCCCTTCATTTTAACAAATTTCAAAAAAAGGAAGACAAAAAATCAAAGATGAATTATCAAGTGCTTTTTTTTTTTTTTTCACTCATCCAAAATTTCCTCAATTCAATATTTTCGTTTGTGAAATGAATAATTATTATTTAAAACAAAACAATGATATCCAATACATATCGCTATAATGTTTACAATGTAAGCTAAAAATTATTCAATTATTTTTTAGATTAAGCATTTTTTTTTTCAATTTTTTTTTTTCTTTTAACGGATTTGAAATGATTCA